ATCTTTGTTTGTACATGAGCTTGGGTTCAGGCTCGCCCCCCCCCCCCCCCCACTGGTAGAGCTCTGACAAACCTGGTTTGAATCCATGTGATACCACAAAATGTTCTCTACACTTTAATTAGTGAGGGCATTATAAGAGTGACAGTCAATTGCTGCTGACTAACTACTTTCCTTCTTGTCAGTAGTTTAAAATTATGGATGGCAGCAGATAACCCTAATAGCTTTGTCATAATTAAATACAAACATGAATCATCCATACGCACAAAATCTGTAAATTTTAAAATTTTAGGGCTAAACCAACTTTATTATTGTATTATGTGAAAATTGCTGCTGTATGTACTCTAAAAGTACGAAATTTTAGTTGTTAAGTGCTAAGCTGTACAATAAGTTATTATATCACGCTATGCCTATCACAAGGATCAAACCCAGAATTTGTAGCATTATAAGTTTCAAGTTTACCACTGAGCCATCAAGGGGTATTATTATTTTACAGAAAGCATATGTGTTCTGTATTATGAATATTGTTATATCTACATTAAATTTGAAACAATTTAACATTAAGTAAATTTTTTACAAAGTAATTTTAAGGTTATGGTATTGATATTGTGAATGAAAAACTGATATAAATGTTAAGGAAACTGTTAAGTTCTTTATGTAAGTGTACATTTTTTGAAGTATATTAAAGAAAGTAAATCCATTAAGTCTGCAGTTCCTTGAACAATTACACTATCATGATGAACAATTCTATTGTATGAACATATGGGATTAAATGTATGTTTATGAACACATTGACATATAATAAGTGAACATGTCTACACCAGCACATTTTTAGCATCCATCTTGTCTTTTCAAGGGGTTTATTAAAATTTTACACTCAGTTACAAATGTCAGCAGACTTGTTGAGAAACTTGATATATTACTATCAGTATTGAGGTTTTTATTATTTCTTAATATCAAGAATTTTTAAGATTTTGTTCCAACAGTTACTTTGGCTTGTCATCCTATCTTATTTTTTTTTGTGACATTTAATTTTATTTTAATATAATAATTATATGTTGCATTCACTATCTGTTTGGAAATTACTATTTTAATCAGCCTAGACACTAAAGTGTGAAATTAATTATATTTATAATCACTCTCAAGATTAACTTGATGATAGACAACTGAAGGAACCTTTCAATATTCAGTATGGTTACATGCTGACGCATGGCCCACTTTAGACTATGGGCAGGCCCATCTTTAATCTATAAACAATTTAAACAACTTTCTAAGATGGCAAAATCAGTAATTGTTTTTTAATTAATATTACTTTTAATAGAATCAAACACGATGTGCTGGTTTTATATCTCGTACTAACTTGGAAAGTCCTCATAAATACACAAACTCTTAAGATAAATATATTAGGAACCAGACCTTAAAGAAGTACCTTGCAGCTTAAAAAAACATGAGGAAAACCTGTTTTTTCTAAATCTAAATAATTTGAAATAAGATATAGATAGGCCTGCTAAAGTAAAAGTTTACTAGAAATTACAACATTTTATTCTTCTGATTTTATGTATATACTCGTCTACCAATGATGATGGTTCAAGGGCTCTGTCTGGGACTGAAATAACCCCTGAGGCAACCCTGACTTATAGGATACCTGAAGTTAGTTGTGTACTAGATAGAGTCCGTTGTTGTATTGAGAGACAAAAGATGAATAAGAGATTCTCAAACAAGTTCATCTTTCAATATTTGTTCAACATCTTTTAAGACAAAAAGTCTGATTTGATCTTCTGTTGGAGAAAACCTTCTTAAACATTTTGTATGTTGTAAAACCAAAATATGTTATCAATGTACTTCTGCAATACTTGTTTTATATGTGTATCAAAATGAAAAACTGTGGAGTAAAGTGAAATTAGTTTAAGACATTTTATATTGAAAACAGCTTTTGTCTCCTGCTACACAAGTTGGTTTTGACCAAATCTATTGTAAATCACAACTCGCCTACATTTAAAAAGTCTCTTATGTTCACTAAAGAGTTTCAAGGCAAAAATAGATCTTGCATAAAATATAATAACAGTTGATTGGTTATAATATAGTATCTAACTCTTATCAATTAAAAAATACTAGTGGAAAATTATAAATTTAATAAGGTGTTTAATTATGATTTTATGGTGATAGAAATGTTGATGGTAAATCTGATCTTGGCTGGAAGAATATGGTACCCTCTGCTATAATGTGAACTTATAGCATTGTTTTGTCATATTCCCAAGTAAAAACAAACACATCTAGATGTGTGAGAAAGTATTCTTGACACACTTTTTAATCTGACCAAAAAAGCTAGTCTAATCAAATTTCAGATTAACAATACACTGAATACTACTTCAAAATATCCCCTCAATGTGACATACCACAATCTGCTTGTGAACAAAATTAAGTGATTTTTGGATTAAACTGACCAGTATTGTGCTCAAGCTAGATGTTGACATAAAACAAAAGAACCTTTCAACCTAGTGGTCAATAACTGTTGAATTTTATACTTATGCACGTTTTATTGTAAACTTTGTTTGTATTATCATGGCTAAAAGCTGTCTTATTTATATTCCTATTTGCTAATTGTACAGTAGTATTTTAACGAGTACAAAAATGAACGACGTTTAATGTGCAAAACTATGACGTTTATAACATTACTGTTGCGTCATCGAGGTCACGTGACTGGTGTGGCGCCCTCTAGTTTCTAGAACTATCTTGTTCCTTCGGGAATGCTCTAGTATTTGCTAGATAGGGTAGGCTGGTATATATATAAGAGGGGGACAACGTGACGCGGTAATGTGTGTATAGACAGTGAGTAATTGAACTGCAGTCAGAGAGTACGAGAGACGTTACAGCGTTTGTTTAGTGCGATTGTTGAAGTTGAGTGTATCGGTAAAGTTATATTCGGAAAGAATAAACCAGTTTTATTAAGAAAGGACTTGTGTCGCTTAAGTTTCGTCGGAACGAAGTTACGGAAAATCAATTAACAAACGGAGACGTAACATTACCTTTAAAGAGAATCAAGTTAATAACAATACCATTATATCTCAATAAAAATTCCAACACGCGAAAATCGACAATTAGGCGTAAAGTTTAAATACTTGGGCCCGGCATGGCCAGGTGGTTAGGGCGCTCGACTCGCAATCTGAGGGTCGCGGGTTCGAATCCCCGTCCCACCAAACATGCTCGCCTTTTCAGCCATGGGGGCGTTATAATTTTACGGTCAATCCAACTATTCGTTGATAAAAGAGTTAGCGGTGGGTGTTGATGACTAGCTGCCTTCCCTCGAGTCTTACACTGCTAAATTAGGGACGGCTAGCGCAGATAGCCCTCGTATAGCTTTGCGCGAAGTTGAAAACAAACAAACAAACAATTTAAATACGCATTGAAGCACGAGTTTTTCCACTATATAATATACGGCAATTAGACCTAACAGTAACAGTCATTCCCATAACTTCATTGATTTTCGGTGCTCTACATTGCGCAAAAGAATACAATTACAGGTTTCAGATGATACAGAAATGTGATTTAAACACATATACACACAAGAAATTTACAAAAAAACATTACAGTTGATTTTTACAATTTTGGATACTATAATTTTATAACTACACTAAAATAGTCAATTAGGCCTAATATTTAAATACGATTTGTGCGCAGAAACGAGTTTACTCGCTGGAGCGTGTGTGAGCAGGCCAGTGGCCATATCGCAAATATGTGTGGCCAACTCGTAGAATCATCGATAGTGTGTTTTTTAGCTGGTTAGAGAAAAAGAATGCCAAATTTCTCATTGAAATTTCACGCTTTTGTTATTTTGAAAAAGTATTTTTAGTACTTTTGCGTTGTGTTTATAATTGACCTTGACTGTCGTTAGAATCCTGATATAAATTTATTTAGCGAAAATTTTCTGTTTTATTAATAGTGTGGCCATTTCTGTGATCGACTGGCCAGGGGAAAAAATTGGTTGCCCACCCATGCGCTAGAGGAATAAAATGTTACACTATTTTCGTTATTGATGGTAATGGACTGGACTTTAAAGAAATTCCTTT